TACACTAAAATTTTAATACATAATTAATTTTTAGTAAGTATACGGGGTGACATTTATTAACCGTTATAAGAACTATACCTTGATCGTGAGTTTTCTTGATAATTATAATACACTAAAATTTTAATACATAATTAATTTTTAGTAAGAATACGGGGTGACATTGATTAACCGTTATAAGAACTATACCTTGATCGTGAGTTTTCTCATTATGTTTTTGTATTTTATTTTTATAATAAATATCTATTATAAAGTTTCATATTAACATCATTATCATATATTAAAATTTTATTTTATTCTTCTACATACAATCGTAAGCAAAATTATTTTCGTAAAGGGGATGCTTTTTTAGAATGTAAAGATTAGAACATGAGGGTTGTGCTGGTTCTTGTTGATAATAGTACAAAATTTGTTTGCTGCATAGAAAACTCAAGTCCATTTTCGATAATTGTCTATTCTGGATTGATGTCTTTATTTCATTATTTCTATTTGTGCTATTATTTAATTACCATAAATAAGTAAGTATATATGTAATAGATATTAAATCATTAAAAATCATAAGAAAAATTAAAAACATCATTTATTATACTTTTTGTTGTCTATAAAATTGAATGAAACTTCTAAAAAATGGTTTATAAAACGGTTATTTTTAACAGTTTATAAGATAAAAATAAAATAAAATAAATTAATAATAATACCAGTTTTCATGTTGTTTATCCCTGATAAAATAGAACAACCTATTTATATATTTATAAGTAAGTAAACTAGTATGCATTAAATTATAAAAAAGAAAGTCATAGTAGTAATTTGAGCAAACATACTTGTAAGAGTATTATAGTTTAATTGCATCTGGAGAGCAGTGTTAACTAATGAACTTAGTGGCCTACTAGTATATATTGCCTGTGGGTTTGCTTTTTTTATAGGCCTGTGTATTATATTTTCTGGGAATTTTATTTTTTTTTCTATATAATTTTGAAATAATATTCTCAATAGAATTGCAAATATCAATAGCACTTGGCCTGTTTAATGGATTTGCATCTCAACATTTTTCAATTAAATCAATATAAGACTGTGGCAAATCGTCAATTAATTCAGGACGAAGACCATTAAGAATATCAAAATAAGGTATTCATAATGATTACGATCATAAAAAGGCTTTTGGCCAGTTGTCATTTCCCACATAATCATTCCAAAACTGTAAACATCTGATGCTATCATATATTTTCCTCCAATAAATATCTCAGGTGCAATATATGGAATTACTCCATATATCTCTTTCGTATCTGTTATCAAATTTGCTGATTCGCTTATTCCAAAATCTATTTTTATATCATAGTAATGATCAACAAGTATATTACCACTATAAAGATCTTGATGAATATTTTTTTTTTATGAATTTTATCAAGTCCCCACGCTATATTTTGTAATAATCCTAATTATTGATTCTAAGATAAAGTAAAAAAATTTTCTGAGATATAATTATGCAAGTCACCATTTAATGCAAAGGCCATTACAATCATATAATTTTTTGTTTCAGGATGCTGTGTGATGCCATGATATTGGTGTATATAATTATTATAATAAGGATAGCTGCGCGACATTGTCATGTGAAACCAGTAACGGGAAATTACCGTATTTCACGGTCTGAAGTACCCCCCATGTATAAATTTTATCAGCTTATGCGGATATTTCAATGGTGCATATCAGGTTTTATTACATGAACCTTGTCAAACGTTACAAAAAAATTGTAAAATGCCGCATTATGCACCTGATATGCATCATTGAAATTAATGATGCCTGACGAAACTTACGTTACTTGACGAAACCATATAGTTTCGTCATTTCGTCAATGACAAAACTTATTGTTTCGTCAATTCGTCAACAGCTAAAATAGTTTTGTCAGGCATCTATAATTGAAATATCTGCATAAACCGATAAAATTTTATATATGGGGGTATTTTAGACCGCGAAATATAGTAGTATATCATGATAATGGATATTATGATGAGAACCTTTTAAATATATTTACTCAATA